TATTTTCACGTGGAAAATCACCTTTCTCAAAATGTATGCAACACATTCACTCTGGTATCAATGTAAATGTTCCCACGTGATTCTCATGACACTAATTAGTGACATAGTTTCCATGCCACAAATAAAAATATGTTTTATATTAGTGACTTTGTTTTCACTTCAATGTATAATTTAATAATAAAAATAAATAAATATTATGAATACAATGAAGTAATAAATAATAAAATTAAAAATTAAAATAATTTTTAATTAAATTTCTTAATTTTTTTAATATATACATTAAAAAAAGATATAAATATTTAGTCACGTAATATTCACGTCACAAACATAAAAATATTTAGTCACATAATATTCACGTCACAAACATAAAAAATAATTAAAAAAATTGTCACGTAATATTTATGTCACAAACATAAATAATAATAAAAAAAGTTATTCATCGTCAGTACTAAATATAACGTCTTCGTGTTCTTCATCATCTAGGACAGAATAATTTGATTATGAGACAAAAAATTGTCGCATTTGTGCCTCCATGTCGGATTGTCGCTTCCTCATTTCCTCTATTTCAGCATTTTGCCTATTTCTCATATTCTCTATTTCGGCCTTTAGGGCGGCCTCACGTGCCTCCTTCTCTCGTCTCGACTCAGATAGAGCTAACTGTCTCACTATTGCCAACATTTCTGGTGTCAATTCTATTGCACGAGATCCTCCTTCCCCATTATCGAGTCTTTGAAATAAAGTTTGGTCCCTTTCTATAATCGCCACCTAAAGACCCAAGACCAAAAAAACACCCATTGACTCCCTTCCCGCCTACTGTTAAATTCCAAATATAAAGATCCATGCGTGAATCAAGCGGTATATTTTCAATCGGCATATATTGAGGATTTCCAATTAGAAATTAGGCAAGCAAGGTCTGGTACAACTCCTACACACACATTGAAAAATTAAATTAAACATAGTTTAAACAATTTAATTATATACAATAATTATGAAATAAAATAATTCAACTATAAACAAGTTATTAAGGTTGATTTGAAACAACCGTCAACAAACTTCTCCGATTTTTTGGTTCGGATCTTCACAAATAGCTCATTAATTCATGGCTCCCTCCACAAATCTTTTTTCTAATTAAAATAATTAAGTTTAATTAAATATATAATAATGCAAAATAGAAATTAAAAAATAGTTATAATTACCATTCGTCGATGATGTTCGTCGATACTGATACTTCCAACTGTACTAAGACAACCAGCCACCTGTTTCAGATGCCCTCATCTTTTTTACATGTTCAGATCTTCTCTGAAAATCTTCTGTCTTCCACCCCTCAATAAGTTCCCTAATGTTGTCTAGCATTTCTAAGCATGTCAGATAATCTGCTAGATATACCTTACTTCTATTTTTTTTTTTAAATTTTGAACTCGTCAAATTTTTACCAAAATATTTTTTAATACATATTCATTAGTGACGTGATAATTTTTGCCAAATTTTTAATACATATTCATTATTTTTAAATAAAAATACTTCTATTTACAAAATACTTTTTTTAAAAATATTTACAATTTTGTTTTCTAATCTACGTAACTTTATGCTTTTTAAAAAATACCTTTTAATATTTTCTATTTACAATTTTATTTACTAAAAATATTTTTAAAAATTCTGTTTTTTCTAATATAATATATATTCTGTTTTTAAAAATATAATACACATTCTAAAATATTATATTCTAAAATATAATATATAATTTGTTTTTCATATATAATCAATAACTAAAAATATAATATATATTCTGTTTTTAATAAAATTAATAAAAACAACATATTTATATACAACAACAACAATCAAATATTTTATATACAATATTATTAATATATAATCAATATTATTCACATTTAAAATATAATATATATATATATATATATATATATATATATATATATATATATATATATATATATATATATATATATATATATATATATATATATATATATATATATATATATATATATATATATTTTTCATATATAATCAATAAATTCTAATTCTATACAACAACAAAACATTTCATATACCTATAAATCTAAAAATTAAATAATTTTAATTACATAAATACCTCAATGGAGCAAATTACTAAAGTTTAATTTTCTAAATATAAAAAATAAAATAAAAATTAATAAAAAAAATTAAAATAAAATGTAAAAGGAAGCAGGAAGAAGGAAGAGTGTAAAATCTAAGAATGTAACATTTACCTGAAAATATTTGTAAAGCAATGAAGGAGGAGAGAAAACACACAAGCAGAGAAGGAGGAAGAAGGAAAAAGAAAGAATAAAGGAAAAGAGAAATGCGTGAAGGGAGGTCTGAGTTGCCAATATATATAGTCCCATTTGCGACGTGGTAGACACGTGGGAAAGTACCCACGTGAATACCACGTCAGAACACTCAATAAAGTAGAAATTTTGCGACGTGAAATTAACATGGGAAAGTTGCCATGTGAGATGCACGTCGGAACTTTCCCAGCATTTAATTTTGTAACGTTCTAATATTAATTGACAAGCAACAGTACAAAAAAAACATTAATGTGTCCCATTTGCGACGTGGGAGTCACGTGGAAATGCTGAAAAAGTCAAATTCATCATTAATGTGTCTCAACTGTAAAAGTAAAAGCTGACCAACTTTAATATTTTCCAACTTGCGACGTGGTTACCATGTGGATAGTTTGTGACTTGTTTTCTACGTCGCAAATATAAAGATATATTTGAATTTTTGATTCCCATGTGGTTACCACGCCACAACTAAATTTTTGTCAAATTTTCCTCCATCTAAAAAAGAACACTCAATGTCAAATTTTAAATTTGAAGGGGATATTAATTAAATATTGTAGTGACGTGGTTTAACGTTGTAATCTCTGTTTTTTTCCACGTGTTTACCACGTCACTAATTCACTAGGCACACTGCAAATTTTCTTGTAGTGATATTTCTTTCTCAAATCTGCATAAAAGAAAAATAAATATTTAACAAGAAAATGATTGATTGTAAGATATATTAAATACAATGTTTGAATAAATTGTGTATGAAAGAAGGAATAGAAAAGGACATAATGCATAGGGCTGGAAATGAGTCGAGTCGAGTCGAACTCACCTCAACTCGGCTCGACTCGTTAAGAACTTGTTCGAGTTCAAGTTCGAGTTTGAGTTCGACACGAACTTTTTTTTAAGCTCAAACTCGACTCGATATAAGTTTACGAACAGTTTGGTTCAACTCGTTAGGTTCATCTCATTAGGTTCAGCTCACATGATTCACAGACTTAAAAACTATTTTTTAAATATATATATATATATATATATATATATATATATATATATATATATATATATATATATATATATATATATATATATATATATATATATATATATATATATATATATATATATATATATATATATATATATATATATATATATATATATATATATATATATATATATATATATATATATATATATATATATATATATATATATATATATATATATATATATATATATATATATATATATATATATATATATATATATATATATATATATATATATATATATATATATATATATATATATATATATATATATATATATATATATATATATATATATATATATATATATATATATATATATATATATATATATATATATATATATATATATATATATATATATATATATATATATATATATATATATATATATATATATATATATATATATATATTAGTATATTTTTAAATAAATGTATTTTCTTAAAATAAAATATTAAAGTAAAATAAAAATTATGATATTAAAATTTAACTTTATCTTCGAAATCTACTAATTCAAAACCTACCCAACTTTCAATAGATACATTTGAGAGTTTAATTCAAAAACTATTAAATTGAAGATTAAATTTGTCTAAGATTTGAAGTAAATATTTAAACCTAATCTTAAAGACAGTATAATTCTTCTCATATGCAATCGAGTTGACTCATGAATCTAACGAGTCGAACTATGTATAGTTCAAGTTCAGCTCATTTAGTTAACGAACTTAATTTTTCGCTCATACTCAACTCATTTGGTTCATGAACCTAATTCAACGATTTAATTGTGAAATCGAATTCCAAACTATTTTCGAGTTGATTCAGTTCATTGTCAGTCTTATGCATAGGTATATACATCTAATTAATGCATGTCACACTCAATCCATTCTCGTGTGTCAGCGGTATCCAAGTTTTTTTAGTGACTTCCTAAGCATGGCAGTAGACAATTATGATTACACACAACACATATTCTATGCGCTAGGTAATTATTACATTTTTAAATATAAATTCATCAAACTTGATGAAAGTTATAACAATTTAGTCAATGTTATTTATATTAATGATTTTAATATAAAAACTTTTGTCTAATTTATTCATAGTCAAGTATTTTATTACTATTAAACGATGTACGTACATATCTTTTACTAATCTTTTAGAAAACTACCAAACGCTACCATACTGCCAACCGCTATTAATATATAGACATTAGTATCCTTTTAATACTAATATATTTTTTGATAATCATATAATAATTACTATTACTTTTTTCTGTTCTAAATTACATTTGTTATTCCATCATTCAACTAACCGTGCACTTAAATGTTTTTGTGATTTTAATCCTTTTATAATTTTTTTCCAATTTGTTTTTTTGTTTTTGATAAATAAATTCTGATTAACTTAGGAATTGAATGAACGTCAAAACAGTAAACAACGTCAAAGAGAGATTTAAGGGACTATTTTGAAAGTCCCTCAAATAATCAAATATTAACAGTCCGTGATTTACTCCAAAAAGAATTATAAAGAATAGGTCCAACTTTTTAAACTCTTATTCTCAAACCCTAATAGCAACTATATTATTACTTCACTTTTGAGACTGAATTTTCAACTGGTTTTACCTTCAAATTGCAAGCAAAGTTTGTAGAAGATGGAGAAACATGTGACTGTGATTGCGACAAAAAAGACATCAAAGGTAAGGAAACAATTACATATACACCATGATATTGCATTCTCCATTCTCTCAAAATTATCAATAAAACCTTTGAAACGATTTGAATGTGTATGCAAGTCATGGTCTCTCTTGTCTGCTAACCGCTATTTCATGAGCCACTACCGCAACAGTTTCTTAACAAAGTATCATTCTTATTATGACGATGCATCTTTCCTCCCAATTCAACGTTTCCCCATCTTTCACAATCAAAGATTTGAGTTCCCCATCTTTTACAATCAAAGATTTGAGTTACATTCTCTTTACGAGGAGAGGTTTCCGAGTAATGTCAAAATAGATTGGCCATATCTCCATTGTTTTCCTAGAATTGTAGGTTGTGGTAGTGTTCATGGAATTCTTTGTTTTTCTATTATGCCCCAAAATGATATTATATTGTGTAATCCATCTACTAAGGATTATAAGGCCATTCCTCTCGACCGTAATCATCACGAATGTTATGGAAGAGGTTATAGTAATTCTGGATTTGGTTATGATTGCGTCGAAGATGATTATAAAGTGATGTGCATTTATCATCTTGAGAATGAGCCAATGGAAGACTTATATCTTGATCCCTTCATATGGGAAATATTCAGTTTAAGAAATAATTCTTGGAAGAAACTTGACGCTGATATAAAATTTAATCCTAATTTTTGGAACGATGAACAATTTTACATAGATGGATTTTCTCATCGGGTGTGTCAAATTGAAGAATATGGTTATAAAAGATACGTTTTGTCATTTGACTGGCACCGAGAGGTTTTCACTACAACGCTTATACCCTTTGACATAGAAGATATTCTTGATTTTTTGTTTAGCTGGACAAATTTGATGCTATTAAATGGGTCTATTGCTTTGATATTAAATTACACTAGGACGTCTACATTTCATATTTTTATCTTGGGTGAACTTGGCGTAAAAGAATCATGGACTAAGCTCTGCACTCTTGAACATTTACCTTACCTTGAGCATCCAATTGGAATGGGAAAAAAGAGTGATATGTTGTTTAGAAAAAAAGACGGAGGATTTGTTTGGTTCGATTTAATTACTCAAAAGACTACGGATCTTAGCATTACTAACAAAGCTTGTTCTGATATAATAATTCATAAAGAAAACCCTATTAGCCTTCTTGCATATGTAGGAAAAAGTATTTAATATTTTTCTTTTATTTCTTTTAAGAGGATATTGTCAAGTATAGTTTCTATGAGCAAAACTAATCTGAATTCTTTATCAGAGATGTGTGTTTTTGGTTCTGACTTGGTCTTATGTTTAAGAGAAGATTTTAGGTTTAGATTTTGAATTTGCTAATTTGTATTGGAAGTTCTGTTTTGAAATTAAGTATCATTGATGCAAAGTTTGTTGTTATAAATCCTACAAAAGATCAACATAAGGTAAATGTTGATGACAAAATCACGAGCTATCTATTGTATTGTATGTAACAAAACACCATCAAAAAGACAGCCACGTGAGTTGCTGCACTTCCATTCTTGCACTGTCATCAACATTCTCACTCATTCAACAACATAGATTTCACTTTTTAGAGTTTTTCATCTATTTGTTACAAATTCAAAAAGCACTCACTTGATCATTGACAATTTATGTTCCATCTTCCCATGAAAGCTCCTCATATTTAGTATGAATGAGATTTCATTTTGGTTGCATCTACTCCATGTAAAACATATGCTCCTAGTCTCTTCAATTCATCTAAATTTAACTTTGCATTCTTGTACATCTTTATAACATCATCTACATTAACACAAGAGCATTATTAATAACAAAAGGTGGGTCAGAGCATTTTGTAGTAACTAAATGTTGAAAAAGAAAAAGAAGTTGAAAAAGAATGCATTAAATCCTTCAATTAATATGTGTTGATTGATGATATAGTTACATAAGTGATGGAAAATAAGTGCATTAAATCCTTTTTAATTGGATCGTTCAATTAACACTATTTGTAATAGTCTTCAGTCCATACTTGAATTAAAATATGTGTTGATTGATGATATAGTTACATAAGTGATGGAAAATAAGTGCATTAAATCCTTTTTCCATTATTGAGACATTTCTAGACTTGTAAGTAACAGACTTGTAAGTAACAGTATGGTTTCCTATTTGAATTATTTATACTAGTGTTCAGATGGGCACTCGCGTGCCCGTCTGTCCGCTTTTTTAATACGTATTTACTAAAAATATAAACGATATTTTTTGTTTAAACAAAGATTTTAAAAAATATAAATGTGGAAGTTAATAATAGAAAGTTATGTGAAAGTTAATAATAAGAAGTTATTAAGTAAATTACATAATAAAGTAAGAGTAAAAATGGTAGAAAAATAAGTCACACCAAAACAAAATATTCCCTTTATATATTGTATACTAATGAGAAAAGTTGATTCACACATCGAAAAGTTTATGGTTCAAAATTTTTTTTATGTGGAGATATTTTTTACAATTAATTTATGAGTGTTGTTTTAAACACTCTTCGAACATTGAAGTTTGTCCTAACCCTAGCGATGGTTCTATAACCCAACTCACTTAAAATTTTCTTGAACAAAAATAAATAAATATATTATTTTACTTTTTAATAGAGTGACTTTTTTTAATTGGATCGTTCAATTAACATTATTTATAATAGTCTTCGGTCCATATTTGAATTAAAATATGTGTTGATTGATGATGTAGTTATATAAGTGATGGAAAATAAGTGTATTAAATCCTTTTTCATTATTGAGATATTTCACCACTCTTCCAGGCGCGTGGCTCTAGACTTGTAGGTAACGATGTGCTTTCCTATTTGAATTATTTATACTAGTGTTTAGAAGGGCACTCGCGTGCCCGTCCGCTTTTTTAATACGTATGAATTAAAAATATACACGATATTTTTTGTTTAAATAACAATTTTAAAAAATATAAATGTGGAAGTTAATAATAGGAAGTTATGTGAAAATTAATAATAAGAATTATTAAGTAAATTACATAACAAAGTAAGGGTAAAAATGGTAGAAAAATAAGCCACACCAAAACAAAGTATTCCCTTTATATATTACTAGCGTCCAGACGGGCACTCGCGTGACCATCTGTCCGCTTTTTTAATGCGCATGAATGAAAATATAAATGATATTTTTTATTTAAATAAATTTTTAAAAAAATACAATATGTGGAAATTAATAATAAGAAGTTATGTGGAAGTTAATAATAAGAAGTTATTAAGTAAATTATATAATAAAACAAGGGTAAAAATGGTAGAAAAATAAGTCACACCAAAATAAAGTATTCTCTTTATATATAGTTATAGATAATATAATATAATATATATATAGTGATGAGAGAAGTTGATTCACACACCGAAAAGTTTATGGTTCAATTTTTTTTTATGTGGAGATTTTTTTAACGAATAATTTATAAGTATTGTTTTAAACACTCTTCGAACATTGAAGTTTGTCCTAACCCTAGCGATGGTTCTAAAACCCAACTCACTTAAAATTTTCTTGAACAAAAATAAATAAATATATTATTTTACTTTTTAATAGAGTGACTTTTTTAATTGGATCATTCAATTAACATTATTTGTAATAGTCTTCGGTCCATACTTGAATTAAAATATGTCTTGATTGATGATGTAGTTACATAAGTGATGGAAAATAAGTGCATTAAATCCTTTTCCATTATTGAGACATTTCACCACTCTTCCAGGTGCATGGCTCTAGACTTGATGGTAACGGTGTGGTTTCCTATTTGAATTATTTATACTAGCGTCCAGACGGGTACTCGCGTGCCCGTCTGTCCGCTTTTTTAATGCGCATGAATGAAAATACAAACGATATTTTTTGATTACGTAAAGATTTAAAAAATATAAATGTGGAAGTTAATAATAGGAAGTTGTAACACCCCATTTCTATACCCCTAAATAATCACATAATCATTTAAATATTAAAAATTTCGTCAGAGTATAATTATAAATATAGTATAAAAGAGGCGCGTCACATTACGTTTGAAATTAAAACATACAACACCTGCTCAACAAAAGATATGCAACAGTGGGATAACTTTACAACAGAGGAACTTAGTCCTTACACCCACATCTCAAAATTTAGAATAAAAGCGGAAAATCTAAACATTGATAACATCAAACATATATATATATATATATATATATATATCATACAGTATGATTCAACAACATAAGTCATGTTTACATAAACATTCATCAACAAGATACATATACAAATGTATCACAAAAGAATCATGTACAGCCTAGCTATACGGTGCTACATATCAGAGCCGACCGATGAAAAGAATGAAGACACGCTTCACAAAAAGACCACCAGCATACCTACTCTGCAATGCCTCATAGAGCATCATAAAACACCAGAAGGGTGAGAAATATTATCGTAATAACAATGCATATAATTTTATATCTTAGCATAAAAATACACATATTCTACATTCTCACCACAATTCATCACAACTCACTCATATACATCACAATGTGTGTGTGTGTATATATATATATATATATATATATATATATATATATATATATATATATATATATATATATATATATATATATATATATATATATATATATATATATATATATATATATATATATATATATATATATATATATATATATATATATATATATATATATATATATATATATATATATATGTATGTAACGAAGCATATTCATCATGCATACTTTCATAATTCTTATCATTCCACATAAACATACACATTTATGTTTATTCACCAATGGACAATTATAAAGATGATAAATGAAAATCATAGAGACTGACTCACGACTCTATGCAAGAATGTTAAAAAATGAAGGAGTTATGCTTATTTAATCATAACATCCATAAATTGCTAAATTAGGTCAAACACCTTGAATCAAACTTGAATCTCTTGATGATTTCTTGCACAATAAGCCATGGTGAACCATATATGATCTAGAAATGATGTTGCATTGAATCATATTTGATAATAAGGGACCTTTAGAAGCTTGAGAATACCATAAAGTCAATAGGAAAATCTTGCTTAAGGTTGAAGAAACATGCTCCTCCTATCTTGAGAAGCAAGTCATGATACCTTGATCCTTTGCCAAGAACCATGCTATGTAAAAATGAATAAGAGATGCAATGAAACATAAGCCAAAATCCAAGAGAAAAGATGGGAAAATTTTGGGGTGCTACAGCTGCCCCTATTCAAACAACTTGGACCTGAAGAAATGAAAAACGACCACTTTCAAACATTCAAGGTAAAAGGTGATTGAATACCAAAAGAACTCGGAAATTTGCAAATTGTGGGGATATTCACAATGAAAAACTGCCAGCCGAAGATGGACCTAAAAACAAAGGGTACCAACCAAAAGTTAGGATAACCGAAAGGTAACTGATCAAGAAGATAACAACGACTACTAACCAAAAGTTAAGATCACCAAAGAGTATAACCCAAAAGTTGTGAGAAAGAGGCTACTAACAAAGAGTTAGGATCACCCATACGCCATCCGAAGGTGAATACACGAACAAAGAAGACTACCAACCAAAAGTTGGAATGAAGGCTACTAACCACAAGTTAGGATTGCCAGAACGTCGGCTGAAGGAGAAAACATCGAAAGGAAGACTACCAACCAAAAGTTGGGATAACGACCTTGTAGGGGAGCACAATTAAGGACTACCAACCAAACATTGGGATAACATCCAAATAAACGTCGAACTACTAACCAAAAGTTGAGATAACATCTAGGAGACGATGGACTACCAACCAAATGTTGGAATAACATCCAGGCAAGCAAATGGCTACCAACCAAAAGTTGGAATCACTGGGATGCCAACCGAAGGCGAACCTACCCAAAACGAGGCTTACCAACCAAAAGTTGGGATAACGACACCACGGGGAATAAAAGAAGACTACCAACCAAAAGTTGGAATAACATCCAAGAAACGATGGACTACCAATCAAAAGCTGGGATAACGTCCAAGAAATGAATAAGCTGGTGATAGGCAGGAAGTAGAATCAACCGACTTACGACCAGAAAAGAGTATTCTGCTGGGGAAAGAGAAGTTTAAAAAAACAAAATTCGTTGGGGAATAAGATGAACAAACCCGCCAATGACGTCTTATTGGGGAAAAGATAACGAAATCTCAAATCAT